AATGAATGAAACAGAGAATTGACTCCATTAACAAAAATATTTTATTATTTACATTCAGAATTGTTTATAAAGAACAAGGTACACTTCATGTGGGCATTTTAGAACCACTCAAATTGGATAATTTTTTTGGATAATCATTTCACGCGTATCAAAAAGCTGAACAAATCATACCATTGCGCCAAACGTGTAGCTTAATTAGGAAGGCCAGAAATCGCGATTGAATTTGAATTATTCTTATAGTTGGTGATATTAATTTCTGCCAGCTTAAATTCCTAATATTCATAAAAGTGTCTTTACTTATTTTCGATAGGTTATAAAGAAGATAGATACAAACGAATGAAGAGTGCGAAGTTTTTAAGTGAAATGATCTGAATATGTAATTATACGTAATACTTTTGCACCGTATGTGTTCATAACATGAGTGAATCCTATATTATTTTGTCAAAATGTGGCATCATATTTATAAATCCGTAAAAAAAATTGTCAGTATATCATTTAACCTGACACTGGTCGTAATATTCATTTTCATTTTTGGCTTCAGTGTATCCAATCGCAATTATGCGGCAAAAAAATTGATAAAAACGCCACCGGACGATTAGTTCAATTAAAAAATTGTGCCTATCACTCGTTCGATTTAATTAAATTAGCTGAAAACAAAACAAAGTCGAGCATAATGTTTACTTTTTAGTCGACGATTTTGTTTCTCTTATTTGAAAAATATTCCCTTTTCTTTTGTAAGTTATACCTAAGTGTTAGTTAAACGTACACCTTACAAGTTTAACTACAATGTAATATAGATCAATCGGTGAACATCAAGTGATTTCCCTGGAGAGCTTTAAAGCCTCTCAACCTCTATGATTACTCAATATCATATAATGATGTCTTGTTGAACATTTCATGCTGTGATTTTCAGCAAAGAATAACAAAGCTTATTCTGAATGTCCGACTAGTACTTGGACCACATTTTGTTGCACTAAAAGTTAGAAATTTTTACGTGAGTGACGAGAGTTTAAACAATTCAGTTTTCCACTCAATAGAATTGAAAGAAACTAATGATGTTGTCAATGTAACTTAATTATGTTTTTTCAAAGGTAATAAAGTTGTTTCGTCCAATTTGTACTCTATTGTGTTCTGTAGAAAGATTTTTAGTGGCAGAAACAGAAGCAGAGTCATGAGAGTTGTGTGGGAGTTTCTAATACGTGTATTGGTTGCTTGAGCTACTTTTCGCACTTTTTATTAAAATATTTATATTGTTTATTTAAATATATTGGAAAATTATAATCCTAGTTCAGTTGTTGGATGGAAAATGTAAATACAAACGGAATTTATACAGGGAATTTTTATTTACAAATCATTTATATTTATTATTGAAGCATTAAAGCAGGCAATGTATTAAAACGCCACTGAAAAAAAATAGAAATAATTTAAATTTTAAGCCAAACGTAAAACTTTTTGACAGGTCCACAATGTAGAATTCATGAGGGTAATAAATTTGTTTTTTTGTAAAGCTTTTATTTTGCTAAAGAATTTTTAAGTTTAAGACACCAATGATGAAATTCAAAACTCATTTAAATTCTATTCGGAAATAATACAAACAATTTTGTTAAATTTTTCTACAACTGTACAAAACTATTTTTCTCGTGCAAAATTTAATACTACTACTCCTGTGTTCTCTAATTAAAATTTGAATAAATGATTGAAGCTCCTGATGTATTGTCAGGTAAATTTTTAAAAAGTCAATTTAATTAGCTAATATAGTGCCTCCAAGCCTCTCGTTTAATTACAAACATAATTAACATCGAATTCTTTCATAAAAACTTTATCCGCTTGATAAGCATCGTGATTTTCATTGTGAAAAACCTTAGCTTCAGCTCTGAAATTAATTAATTTTCTATCGTGACCTATGTCTACTCATCAGTGAAATGTACAGATGATGTGTCCCAAGTTTATTTCTTTGTTAACCATATAGAAACTTGGTGCATAAGGGTTAAGCTAATCTTGACATACATTAAACAGTCTCAGTGAAATAGTCTAATAAGGAAGAAGCAGCGACATTGCACCACCATCTCATTGTTTATCATGGAGAGATTTCAGTAATTCGCCTAAGTTAGACGTCAGCACGGAGGATAAATTTCAATGAGCTCGTTTATGCAGCTTGCAACTGCCACTTTTTGCAACATTTCAAAAGCTACCGACGACAGCGTATGGTTTCCTTTGGCGCTAAAACTTTAACGATTTAATTTATTTAATGGACGCAATTAGCCATTAATCGAGGCGAAATTGACACTAAATTACGTAAAATGAATTATTTATCGATTTGAGGCAGCTTTGTTAAACCGGAGATAATTCCACACCTCTGTGTATGAATTATTTCTGAACAGAATACAATTCGACACAGGTAAATGTTGTTTCTTACCAGATTTGTACAAGCCGTCTGAAAATATCAAATTTACTTCCTTTACATGTGAATATTAAATCACAAGACATTTTATTGTTAAACTCGATCCGTAGCAAGGGCAATTGTTTCCTGAACAATGAATAATATTAGCTTGATTTAAAAGCAACACAAATGCTGACGACTAGTTTAACATCATTTATATACAATTAATCAGTTTTTGTGTAATTGTACAACAAATTAGTCACAAAAACTGGTTACAAAAATATGTGGAGAGTACTTTCCAACTGTCTAAACAACCACACAATTTTTTTGACGCAATTCAGATAATTACATGAGGGTACGATAGAGATAAGGGTTACAAATATTGACTACGCTTGGCCATTTAATTCAAACCATTGTTAACAATCTGGAAACAACCTAGAAAAGCGATGGAATATTTTGTTATGATATTTTTGGCAATTTTGGCAAAATTGAGTTCACGTTGAAGAAGTGCAAAAATAACATTGTTTATATCCTTTGTGCTTGTGTCTAAAAATAGATGCAAATATTTACCTCATCTAATAGATCGTTATTTCCAAATAGCACTTTGCGTGATGAACTTTAAAACAGCTATTAAATTTTGCATTTAACTTCCTATTCTTTTTTCAGATTTTAGTTTCAATAAATTTGAAACTACCAAATAATAAATTAAATCTAAGCTAACTATTTTGCATATTTCAAGTTGAAGGTTCATGGTGTTTAAAATAATAAAATGCAAATAATTATTTGGACGGTGAATGAAATCAGGGGACGTAATGGTTTTGTTCTCAACTTCATATTGTTTCTCCAACAATTTAATCATTTTGGGAGAAAGTTCGTCAAATAAGTTTATCAATTTACTGTTTTCACGAAAATAGATTTTCTGATTTAATAGCATATTGTTTTTAAACTCTGGAATTAATTGTATGCATGAAAACTTTATGTTCGTATTTAACGTATTCGAATGCAAACGCTTGCAATTCGAACCGTTCAATTTAATCTAAATAAACTGGTTAATTGGACGTAAATATAAGACTATGTGAAAGTAGAATTCGATTTTCTTCCAATTGAATCCTTAAAAAGCGGTTCTTTACACAAAGTGGCAGCATTGATCCCGCATGATAATTCGAACACTTTTATCATAAACTTTCGAAAAATTCGAGTTCCACTTCTGCATCGAAATCAGATAATACATAGAAAAGTTCAAAGGAGACGGTCGATTTTTTATGCATTTTTCGTTCTTTTAAAGCTAATTCAAAACGCTTAAACGGGATTCAAAAAGTTGCCGACTGATGATAAAGCATAGTTATTCGAGCATGTAAAGGAACTGCTCAATCGAAAAGAAATTTCTTGCCATTACGGACAAAGTAAAAATATAAATAGAAAGGGCAGTTTTGTTTAACGATTTTCTTAAATGGAAACGTGCCGATTACCTGGTAATAAACAAGTTGCGTTATTTCTTTTCATTGCTTAATCAATTTTAGGTAATTTTTTTAACCGAGAACGTTCAATTTTAGCTTTCATTATTTTTTATTGGGCAATCTGAAAGAATATTATGGACCACATTGGCGCTGATTTCATTTCCGATTTTACGTTTCACAAGAAATTAGTGTTGTAGTTTTGTTCAACTACAACCTACTACAAGCCTTATACTTAATTAAATTAATTAACAGGATTAAGACTAAATGCAAATAGGTTTTTCAATTTTTCAACTATTGTATGATTTTAGATCTCTTTTGATTAACTTACTAAATATAAACAAATACTTGTTTTTTCTCCAGTAAATCATCTTTACGATTCTCATAAAATTGAGAATATAAAATATCTACTTTATTACTTGCAATTGGTAATAAAAAGTGGCTTGCAATTCTTTTCTTTTCGAGTAGCAATATAATATGATATAATATAAGAATAAATTCAATATGTTTTATTGCATGCATGCAGGTCTATTTTGTACAGTTTTTGGTGCATGTAAAATGAGACATTATTAAATTTTCATGGGTTTTAATATAGCTTGTTACAGCAATACATAAAATACACGTATACTTTTATTTTCTGTGAATTTTATTTTCACAATATCTACTTTATTAAAATTCATAAAATATACAGTATGTCTCCGGATTGAGTTTAGAAGAGGAAAAATTTTTTTATCTTTGATTTTACGCCAAAACTGCAAAGGAGAAACATTTTTGCTTCACTTGAAACGAGCAAATTTGCAATTTAAACTTCATTATTCTGATTCAGTGAAAAGTAAAGGACAATATGTTTTTCCTTAATTTAACTTAATTTATTAATAATAATTGACATATATGTTATTATTTTATAAATAAATGATTACTTGCACATATCTATAGGTATAGTTTGAAACGAACTTAGCGCCAGTTTCATAATATAATTAAAGGGACTTTAGAATTAATGTTGATTTAGAATATGAAATTAACTTTAAAATCTCTTTAATTCGATTGTGAAACTGGCCCTTAATGTTGTTGCTAATGTCATTTAGATTCCAATCAGGAAATTTCAATCAATGTTTCAAGTTAATAAGCATTGACATTTTTTATATGCAGAAGTCTTGCGAAAAATGTCTTGGATTTTCTCAGAAAGGCAATTTAAAAAAGATTATTCTAAATACCTCTTTGATAAAAAAAGTCTCTTTTCGTTTCTTCTAATCCAGCATCATTTTTTTTCGGCTTGAACACTTCCAAAGTTATTTTTCTCCTAGTAACAATTTAAAAATGGAAACGGATAAGTCTTACGAAAGTTAGGTAGGTATTGGTTAAAGCTTAGCAAATAGAAATTTTACGAAATCGACTTGAACCCACGTTGAGATTGGTGAATGGCTTATGAGCGTTAACGTTTAGAGAAAATGGAGGAGACTCCTCTCATGATTAATTTTCCACAAGTTGCTAATGTAAACTGCGTTATTTAGAATGATCCTTCTTGGCTTTAAATTTGATATATTTCTTGTAAGGCATCCTAAGTAATTTCAAGACAGTTTCAATTTGGTTAATCATCAACATCACTTCACGTTCACGTAAATTCGTTCTATCAAATGCGGTTTGTCCTTATTTATTTAGCCACAAACGGAACAACACTCGCTTTGAGTTGATACACGATAAAGTGGTAAACCCGTGAAGTTACAGCATGGGCGTAGAGTGGGACAAGGGCGGCAGCAGCCCCCGCTGAGTCATGCAGCGGCTGAGGACCACATTTAAACGGTCCCGAACTCCGACTGGCGCTGAAATGAAGACTCAAAGCAGTCTGGAGGTGCCCAAGCAGGTGCGCTCTGCCTCTTTCGACGAGATTCAGTTGGAGGCGAAGCGACTGCAATCGGGGGGTCAATCGACCGACCCCTCGGCGCTTCTCAGAGTGCCCCAGTTCCCCGGACAGCGTTCGAGGAGTGTCGATTCGGGGGGTAGTGAAGAATCCGGCAATTTCCTCGAAGTACCGGCACGACGCTTTCAACGGCGACGCTCTTCAAGCAGCAAAAGTCCGGTGTGTGTACATTGCGTTTGCTTGGAGGAGTATGCCAAATTACATCCGGCGGAAGAACAACCACCGGAACCGCCGGACGAATTGCCGCCACCCACTTCCAGCATCAGCGATTCCTCCAGGTTGGTTTTCAATGTTACTAAAATACAGGGTGACCCAGGGGTGCGTGCATGCTCAACAACACTTTTTCTATCGATGTTTTATGAACATGATTTTTTTTAAGGATAGATACAACAACGAAGCACATTGTAGAAATATTTCTATTCATATACACATGTCCCAAATAAGATACACAACAAAATTCTGTTTTTTTTTTTTAAATGAAAACCCCAATTTTTTATTACATTTCTGGATTCGCCACTAAATTGTCAATATAACACACCTTGGTTTCTTAGACTTACCTGCAATAGTTTTTGACTTACATATACATACATTACATCATACATAGACCCACAAAAAATTTATAACTTCAAAATTAGTCAAGATAATTTAACCAACTTTTTTTCAGTTGATTCCTTAAGCTTTAGCGCGTCTTCTGAGATAAAGGCAAACTCAGAGTCGATGTTCCATCGCGTACTACGATTTTTTGAAAATGACAAAATACAAATGGCAATAAGTCGATTTTTTTTTAATACAACACTTTATATTTTATTGCATCATTGTATGGCATTTTTTATGAGCTTTTTGTCGATATAGAATTTATGGGGTCTACTTTGTAAAATTAATGAGATTTTTGGAAAATAAGTAAAGTCTGTTTTTTTTTTTTTAAATGGAAATGCCAAACAGTCTTAACGTTGGCATCACTAGTAAATTCATTCATGGTAATTTTAATAAAGAAAGTTGGTAGTTCCGGTTTTTTGAATTAATTTGAAAACAATGTCATTAAACGTCAACACAAAAAATCGTTTAAGAAAATTTAGAGACGAAACACCAAAAAAGAAACAAATTCTGTACACTAACAGTTTTTCGAAATTTGGAAACGAATAGTTCGCAAGCAGGAAGTTAGAAAAAGGGCCCGTTAAAATGTAGACGCAATTTGTAATACAGATTTGCTAAATATTCTTAATTTTTAGCAGAAATCGACAAGAATACAAAATAAACATGAATGAGAAAGCACCTCGGAAAGAACGCAATTAAATTAGTGTCTTGTGCATCGTTTTTTGAGGAATGAATTGAAAAAGTTTGAAACTAAAGCTGAAGAAGAATTTGTAAAATGCATCAACTTTGAGTTCATTTCAATCAATTACACAAAATTTATTGCCAATAATCATAATACCTACTTGTATCTTTTGCTAAATAACTTTTTTCTGTATATACATCCTTTTTCATTAAAGGTTTTGTAGCGGGAACCTCATTTTTATCCACAACATTGTACTTACTTGCAGTGTGTTTCTATCAAAATTATTAGCACTGAATTTTGTCTTTAGACGATGTCTGTCTTCAGGTATTCAATTATAGGGCTTTCAAAGAGCAAACAGGCAGACAAGGTTCATAAAAGTTAAAATTTTGACAACATCTCAATTTGAAAACAACCATAATTTTTTAACAAAATTTCTAGGGACAACAACAAAGAGCAAACAAAATTTGTGGCTATGGAGACAAGCTGCCACCAATTTTTTCACCAAAATTTAGACTTGGTAATTTCCATTTAAAAAAAAACAGACTTTAATGTTGATGTTTTTTTTCTGAAAAAAAAAAACGGGTAGGCTGTTATAGTTTGACACATGTATGAAATTCGGAAAAAATGTGTTTCAATAAAATGAAATTGTAATAGAAACAGGAGTACATCACAATAAAGGAAACAATTTTAGTAATCTTTACAAGAATAGGAAAGAATGATTAACAGAAAACAATGTAAAAATTTTGAGAAAAGGTTACTTATAAAACCTGCTCAACTAGATCACCATCATGTTCCACACAAGCTGCTAGTCTTTTAGTAAATGAGCTCGGAACTCTAGCAAGCATTGCTCCATCAACTGAATGGAAGGCTTCCGTGATCCTGTTTTTCATATCATCTGCAGTTATTGGACGATCTCTGAAAACTCTTTCTTTCACGTACCCCCAAAGAAAGAAATCGATGGGATTAAGGTCTGGAGATCGTGCGCACCAGGGAATAGTACCTCCTCTACCTATCCAACGATTAGGATAGGATATTTCTGACGGTACATTTTGCTTACTAATAAAGAACCAACCATATTCACTAATTCTTCACGAGTGAAATTCATTATTTGTCAATAGATGTTAGATGTGTAGAATTATTAAGTACACGCAGCCTACTCGATTTCTTTTTTTTTTTTTTAGAAAAAACCATCAAGATTTTTTATTTTGCAAAAATCGTACAAATTTTACAAAGTAGACCCCATAAACCCCATAAACATCGACAAAAAGCTCATAAAAATGCCATGTAATGATGCAATAAAATATAGAGTGTTGTATTTAAAAAAATCGAGTAATTGCCATTTTCCGAGTTTGCCTTTTTCTCAAAAGATGTGCTAAAGCTTAAGGAATCGACTAGAAAAAAATTGGTTAAGTTGTCTTGAATAATTTTGAAGTTATGAATTTTTTTGTGGGTCTATGCACGATGCAATTTTGACACATACCTAAATTGGCATAAGTCAAAAACTATTGCAGGTAAGACTGACAATTTAGTGGCGAATCCAGAAATGTAATAAAAAACGAAACTTAGTTGTGCATCTTATTTGGGACTATATATGAATAGAAATATTTTTATAATGTGTCTCATTGTTGGATCTATCGTTTAAAAAAAAAACATGTCGATAACTTGGATTGAAAAAAAGTTATAGACCGTGCACGAATCCCTGGATCACCCTGTATATATCATTTGGAAGAACTGAATAAAGACTTTAAAAGTTGTATTAAAACTAATAAATTAGCTTTTGAACGTTTTCGATGCTTTGAAAGTGAAAATTTTATGTTTCAGCGAATGCGAAGAAGAGGTTCTCCCAGAATGCGCCATCACGGTCACCCTTTCACCAATGCTACCTTCTCCACCTATCCAATCTCCACCACCGCTTCCAGCATCTCCGGTCATCGAGTTTTTTCCAACTGAAGATGTCCAAACACCGACCACGCCGACAAGGCGGAAATCGATTCATCGTCAAGAAGCGTTTTTTGCCGAACCAACTGGAACTTCTTTGGAGAATATGTCAGATGGTCCGTCTGAATTATGTTCAGAAGGGACATCAGAAGGAGCATTGTCTGAAGGCGATGCTATTAACACCACCATACCGGGCTTGGTAGTCCGTGATATTTATTTGCAAGTCCCTGATTTAAAAAGAGATAGAGCAGCTTCTGTGGATTCGTGCTTTTCGAAAGTTTCGCAAGGAAAAACAGAGGAGTTACAACATTCTGGGGTTAGTTTGGAAGTACCAGTGGGGCCAAATGTGGCTTTGCGCTCGAGATCGGTGGATATTGTATTGCCAACAGATGAACATGCTAGATACAAGGCGCTGGCAATGGCCGCAGCGCCTGGGACTTCGTCGTCTTATTATAAGGGGTATGTTTGGTGTTGCATGACTTGTACCGCACTGCATGTTATTAAATAAACATTGTGAAACTTACTTGTCTTTCTTTATCAGAGTATTACGTCTTCCCTAATTATTACAGTGGACAAACTTAGCATAGTAATTAATCTTCTTGTTTGCGGGCTCAACAGATACAATATTCAGCAAATTTAAATGGATAAATCGATCCCTTAATTTACGGCTTTCGCTCCGTCTTATCCCTTTTTCTCACTCATTAAAGACTAGCAGATTTTCTTAGTCTTTGTTCGATTCTTGAGAAATCGTTCGTCAAGCTGTTGAATTCTTAACGATCTCTTGAAGTCTTGACAAATTAGGGATTAAGACGATGTGAAAATGAGCACAATTCTCTCGGAAAATTCGGCGTAACATGTTAACAGAAAGCATATTTATTCAAACATTGACGTTTCTTATAAATATTCACGCGAGGAATATTCGCAACGGTCCAATGCAAATTCTTTACACGGCAATTAATAGGGCTTGTTAGCAACTACCGTGACGAGTATATTTTGAGGGAATGCTTTTCAAATAGTTTTAGTTTGTTTTAACAAAGTTATAGTGAATTTATGCACGGTCGAGCATTTTGAACCAAGTGACATTCTTGATTTTAGTGCATAAACAGTCACATTACTGCTCTAGTGCATGTGGGTAATTTTATGCTCTTCCTACTCTTTCTCGTATTTCTCTTTTAATTTTAGTGGCAATAAGCTACACGTTGCAGCATTTGCATTTTCTCGAATTTCGTCAGGAATGTCATCTCCAGCAACACCATAATTTTCAGTACCATTTTGTCCTACTATTGCTAATTGCTACGTGCAAACTACGCAGCACAACGAAGAAATTTACAAAAAATTAAAATGCCTCAATCTTGTCTTCGGCCTGCGCTCTCATTAAAAAACCGCTTCATTATGCTTTTAATACATAAATAACTTTTATTTATTCAAGGAATTGTATACATAACAAAGATCTGGTTGATAGGATCATCTAATTGCCCAGAAAAAGTTTGTAAACTGTATTTAAACCACTTAGACTTTTTCCCTACTTTTTTATCAGGAGAAACGCAAGTCGCATCCGCAAGCAGATCGGTAAATCTTTTCTCTTCGGTGTCACGCAATAAAGCTTGTCGCCAATAGGTTGCGTGCACGAACACAGCGTCACTCAATTCCGGGTGCTTTACTTCTACGTGAGGTAAATAAATCATTTCAAATTACTACAAATGAATGGAAATAACGCAGGCAGCTTAATAACGTACATTTTTGCACGATTCCGGCTGTAATTAAAATCGTACATACCCATCTACCAGCTATTATCATCTATATAGCTTTCTGACGGTTTACGCCGGCTATTACATTCACACTCGCGTATAAAATTCTATAAAGTTTGCCACACAATGTTGAACGAATTTTCTACATTGTCGTAGAAACTGTCACAGATTGCTCTCGGTTGTGCTTTTCACTTTCCACCCTCTATTGTTAATATAGTTCATTTTCATTAAGTTGACATGTGAGCATATATGTATGATGTTGGAAGAAGACGATCCTCGTTGATGCACTGCTCCCTTTTGTGCCATTTCATGTTTCTAATACAATAAAAAACGAGACTTGCTCGTTCACATTCAAGTCATAGAAATTTTCTTTATAAAAAATAATTGATTGATTTCGTGTTAAACATTTGGCGTTGGTTTTAATTGATGGGTAATTGCGGTGATTTGTAATTTAAATGTCAGCATGTTCATATCGTCATCCCTTCTGGTCATATTTTAACGAACGATTATTGATTTGAAAACGTGCAATTTCCGCTTCAAAGAAATTGACGTGACTGGTACTGAATTCCAGTTTGAAGGTATCGGTTATGTTATAGAATCATTAACTAGCCAATAGACAATAATAAATTATTACCGTAATAATATTTGAACAATGATGTTGCATGTAAGCCTTTCAGTATTATAGTTAATTCCGAATATAATGATTTATTATTTACTGGTATACAAAGCAAGTGTCGAAATTTGCAACTATGGTCACGAAAGCAGGGTATTAAAAAATATTTTTGTCGTCAGATTTTGTAACAAGAATTGTATAGTGTACAGTTCCATAGGCATGAATTTAAAAGCATTTAGATGCCATTTTGATAAGTTGGCTTGGTATGTAAATTTAACGAATTTAGAAATCCTTATGTGGGTTTTCCACTCCTCAACACGTTACTAACGACCTAAGGCTTTTGGTTAAACAACGTTATATTGATATCACATTTCACTAAACAAAACGAGAGAGCAACAATCCAGAGTACACATTATATTATGATTATTTTTAATATATGAAAAAATATCAGTCCCATTTACTTGTAATCTTATTCAATTTCTTCCAAAATTCGTGGAGTCATTTTGTAGATATAAGTAAGTAATAAATTTTCTCTAAAGATATATGGTTTGCAAGCCCGTCATTTTGGTGCACGCAATCCTAAATGAACTATTATTTAAAATTACTGTTCTCTATTGATTCTTGTTTCAGAACAAAAAGACTAAAAGGTTTATAATCTATTATTCTTGGAACAATAAATAATTTAGATTACTTTTCTAATATTGTTGTAACGGTAAGTTTAAGTTAATTAGTACTTTGACAATTGTAGTAAACTTTTTACTGTTAATTAAATCCAGGATCAGCCTTTGAGCGGTATGATACGGTCAGCTTAGTTGCTTTGACTCATATCCTGGGGCTTATTCCCGAATGAATACCTTTTGTGATTAATTATTGTTCGTGATGCTCCTCGGAAATTATAAATGTTACCATAATTCAAGTTATTCTCCACGTAGTTGCATTGTAAGGGAAAACCTACATTTTTAGTCATACTTGTCGGCTGCAACCAATTGAAATTGGTAAATTTTTTTATAGGCGTATATAAACAAATATCGATCACGAGAGAACTACTTCTTGCTTTCATCAGAGAATTTGATTTTCGGTAAGGTAACCGTAGAGATGCAATTTTAGGTTTAAAATTTTCACATATCAACGGAGAGAAAACATTTATTTAGTCCTTAACGAAATTATTTTCTCAAAGTAAACCAACACGATCCTGAAACGCTCTCACTAATCACATCTGATGCCACCACTTTGTCTACCAAACAAACGAAACAAACAAACTGTTTGAAACTGATCAGATCGTAGATGGATTTTTCCCTACTTCCATTTAGTTTAGTAGCGCATTTGCTTTTTTTATTTATTTTTATAAAAACCTGCGAATAATCAACAGGCGGTTGCTTAAATTTCTGAATAAAGCTCGCGGTTTTATAAGAATGTGCTCTTTGGCTAGGGTTAATCGCAAAGTTTGCTGCGGAACTTTAGTTAAATTTAATTACAGGTAGTTTTTGGCATGTGGTTAGTGATTTATCTTGGTTGAAGTTTTCGTGCGAGTTCTCTCTTCAATTTTTGAAATTATTTAGCGCTTAACTAGTTGCCTGCAGTGATTTATTACCTCATACCTGTCACTGCTCTTAAAATTTTAATGCTGATAGGGAAAAATATCGCACGAAAGGAAACTGAAAGCTCTATGCACGGTTTAAGCGTGCTAATAAAGAAGTTGTGCAATAGTGAAGTAACAAAACACCTTAACGAAGCACTTTGTAGTTTTACTAAGTGAGGGTCTTATTGCAAGAGCGTTGGCTTTATAGTTTGCATTTTTTGTGGCTTTCTAAAACCAACAGTAACTTTTTTAATGCATTGTTACGTATGCAACCAGTAATTTACTCCTGCTTTGAGCTTACCGAAGAGCTTTATCGCAGGAAGCGGAAAACCATAAATAATACACATCGCATCTACGAAAATCCAATTATTTAATTAATTTAATGAATTTGTGGAACCTAACAGTTGCTTCTTTAAAATCGATCTTGCGAATGTCGAAAAAATTACTGATTTGTCGTTTAAACATAAATAATTCGCTTATTTATAAGGGTGTGAAAAAATATAAAAGAGAAGTTCGTTAGGCGTTAAATCTGTTTTCTTTGATGTATAAAATACGAATTTAGTCGAAGAAGAGCGACGCCGACGCACGTATTCACCACTCAATCGTTATACCGTCGAATTTAAATGGAAATTTAAGACGTCTGATACGGTGATTATTCTTCGAATGCAGTTGATTGACGGTTTGAACCTTTTAGCATGATTTATTGAAGTTTAAATTCGTTAATATTACAATTTTTCTTCGTGTGTCATGAAACACAAAAGGAGAGTCAATTTATTATTGAAGTGAATCAATCTAAAGCTTGATTCTTACTTTGCATGACTTATTAATAAATGATTGAATTAGTTTTGAGCGAATTAGAGGTTTTTTTTCGGTAATTATTTCTGACCGATTTGTATTTTTTACACTGTACTGAAGTGAAAATGCGACAAATATTGACAAATCCCAGAGATTTCACACTGATTATAATTTGTGAGATTGTTTCTACCAGCTGATAAACAGTGTAGGTTTTTGATCCAACTCTGAACAGATATTTGCATCGACTGTTTTATCCTTATCTTAAGCCATATCCAGCTATCACATGTAATGATTCCCGTTTTTTTATTTTCGATTTATCTGACAAAGATTTATTTTAAACTGAATTACAGGTGTTAGAGCTTATGACTAATTTACTTTTTGCAACATTTAAACTAATAAAGGAGACCATCCGTGTCATAATTAAATAAATTAGCTTTTCCCACTCATAACATACATAAGGGCTTACAACTTTGTGTGTTTCGAGTGTTTCGACCATAAATTCAAGTCTGCAGTTATTTCGAGGCTCTTTAATGACTGTAAAACCCCTTTGCAACGTATTGATGTAATTGCTTCGATTACCTACTCAGAACCGTATGGAAACAACGCATGAATTTTGCATAGCTATTTAAAGCATCAAAGCTTTATTTCGACGGCTGAGCAGCTTTTGGAAATGCTGTATATTAATTAGCATTATTGGACGTTAGATCTAGCCATTAACAAATTA